GGAGTCGGGCAGTGAGATGACAGAGAGACAGACAGGAAGAGAGGATCAGAGCCAGTGGGAGTCGGGCAGTGAGATGACAGAGAGACAGACAGGAATTTCAGATGCAAGGTGAGACGAGACAGACCAGGATAGAGACAGTAGGTGTGACATCTGCACGTGTGTGTTTGTGTTGTTATGCAGGAACAAGTCTGGGATCTGGGGCTGGCGATCAGAGAAGACTGAGATGATCAGTGGATATGAGGCGAAGGTCAGTCCATCTCTGTCTGTCAGTCTGTGTTCCTCTTTAAACTCCATCCAGAAGTGGAAGAGCTAACTGTTTCAGCTTTCTTGACTCTGTCTGTTTCCATTTAAAGGTTTACAGTGCCAGCAATGTGGAGCTCGTGACCCGAACGCGAACAGAACATCTCTCGGACCAGGACAAGTCCAGGAGCAGAGGTACCAGAACCCCCAGGCCTGCCTGGCTACACCAGCGCATGAAATAAACACATCGTCATCGTCGTCATCACATTCTCTATACAGAGAGATTAGAGGCACAGAGAAACACAGTGCTGTGTGGGTAACTGTACTGTTTCAGCTCCTCTCTCTCTCTTTCCAGGCTCTAAGACTCCTCTCCAGTCCTTCCTGGGAATTGCTGAGCAGCACGTCTCTCATAGTGGGGTCAGTTCTTATAATAAAACTTTGAAAAGCAAGGATAGGGGGACGTGTCTTTACACAAAGGGTGGTGGGAGTGTAGAACAAGTTGCCCAGTCAAGTTGTCGAAGCCGTTACCCTGGCTTCTTTTAAGAAACAGCTGGACGAAGACTTTGGATCAATTAGCCACTGTCTTGGAAATGATAGTCTCTACTGTCTGCCGATTGCCCTCCTCTTGTTTGTCACCTGTCTCGTGACTTTACTGGACGGTCCGCTGCCCTGCTCGGCGCTGTTCTGTCTCAGCCGTGACCAGGGTGCTGAGGACACTGGGAAGTGGTACTGAGTCTCGCTGACATTCCTGCCTCCCCACAGAGCCAGGTTTCCCAGTGTGCCAGCCCCACCAACCCCAGTGCCCTGACTGCGGAGGAGTACTTCAACCCTGACCTCTCGCTGACCCGCAGAGACATCGGCAGGCCTGTGGAGCTCAGCAGCAAAGTGCAGAAGTACTGTACTGTATTTGTGTGAGAGTGTCAGGGGTATTGTACTGTACTGTGTGTGAGAGTGTCAGGGGTACTGTACTGTGTGAGAGAGTGTCAGGGGTACTGTACTGTACT